GGTTCCTCTCCTGGGGGGCGGCTGAAATAACGGTGCCGTCCCTTGTCACCCCCTTTTCCCCCCGCCAAGGACACTATGAACGAGGAGCAGTTCGTGAGCATCGACTTGGACGATGACAACGTGTGCAGCGTCTGCAAGCTGGGGACCGAGAAGGAAACACTTTCGTTTTGCCATGTTTGTTTTGAGCTGAACATCGAAGGTAACATTTTGATAGGAGTCGTCTTGTGCAGACTTCACTCACAGGTTGCTTATCCTGGAGCAGAACACGAGTTGAGCTTCTCTGAAAGCTTTCTGAAAGGGTTAGGTTTCAAAACATGTATATTTACACAGTTTTCTTGACTGGCCAAACTAGTCTGTTAGGTTCCTAAATAGCTCATTTGCAGTAAAGGTGGGTGCCTGAGGTGTTGTAGCAATTGCTTCTCTAGTTGCAAAGATATATGCACCTTTCAAGAGCTTGAATTTGTCTTGGAATCATAGAATCGCAGAATGGTTTGAGTTGGAAAGGACCTTAAAGATTATGTAGTTCGTCCCATAGGCAGGGACACCTCCTTCTAGATTAGGCTGCTCAAAACCTCATTCGGCCTGGCATTGAACACCCCCAGGGATGGGGCATCCACAGCGTCTTAGGGCAGCCCGTTCCAGTGAACCAGTTTTCTAGCGTTAGACCTCCGATGTTAATTCAGATCAGAAGGAGTTTATGTTCTGCATTTATTCAATGGTTTTATTCAACGGTTAGAGGGGTCTGTGTATAAAACTTAAATAAATTGCAAATTTTAAAGCATAATAGGTTTTTTGGGGGAAGGACATCGATATTTTACTTTAACTAGAGATAATCAGGATTACTGCTTTTTGTTTTCATAAGGTGATAATACATGTAATCATAAAACAGGGTTCATTTTGAAAGCTTCTTGAAGTTTACAAATTATAAAGTAGGAGTTTTATCCATTTTTAATATCATTTTGCCCTCCAGAATGGTATTTTTAGGATTTCAGACCTTATTTTTCAAAAGCATTTACCCATCTTGTGGCTGTTCCTGTATGCACCAAGTGTTGGGTATGAATGAGAAGATTAGTTATTTCCCTTTTTTGCAGTAATTAAGGGGTTTTTGAAAGTATAGATATTGTTGCTTGATTTTGTTTCAGTTAAAGTGGTATTTGCCAACTGTATGTGGACATGACTGCCTAGAGTAATTCTTTTTTGTATGGGGCAATTGAATAGGAAGATCTTAATGCCATTATATGGATAGTCCCATTTCCTGTTGACAAATAGTAAGACTTGCTGCATCTCTGATATACAGGAGAGCACACTAAAGGTGTTAAGATCAAGTCTTTCTCAGGGGAAAGTGTGATGAGGTATGGGCACTGTACCCAGTGATTCTGAACCCCAGAAGCATATAACTGGAATGTAGCGAGCTGTAAGGACACGTATTCCTTACAGTTTGTAGTATGCATCTGACTTTCAGTGCATGTATAGGCAATACACTTTATTATTTTTTTTGTCTTACAGAAATCTGAAAAATGCTTTAGCAAGTTAAAATCACTATTAAATACTGATTCAGTACTGTGGTTTGATTTTTTTTTTTTTTTTAAAAATGTGGCTTTAAGGTCCTTGTTGCTAGTAGAGGCACTAGATTTTAATCTGAACAGTACTTTCCTACTTAAATAGTAATTGCATGCTCCATGCCTTTGTTTGGAAGAGACATCCTTGTCTATTTGTGCTTTGTGATAAAACTTAGAGCAACTATCTGACCTAAGAACCCATTGGTCTGCTTGAGTTTTCTTACTGCTTTAAAATTATACGTTTACTATTCTCATTGTGGAGTTGTTTCCCTCTCTGGGTTTTAAAATGAGAAAAAAATCATATTGCCATAATAAGAGTTAAGTACTTAGATTACATTCAATATCTAGTTTTATTTTGGAAGAGTTGAAACAGATAAAAAAAATGCATTAAAAAAAGCTGGATTGCTTCTGTGCTCTGTTGCTTGAGATAAGCTGTGGATTTGTCAAAGTTACTCATTATGGATATCACTTGACAAAAGCTGGAGCAGCTTTTTTTTTTTTTTTTTTTCTAGAGCTCTAAGTAGCCTTGATAATAGCAAAGACTTGATTTGTGCAGCAGGCTACTCTGCATAATCATCTAAATTTTCAGTTAGTTTTAAAAGAAGGCTACTTGAACAGAATAGTGATGAAAGCTCACCTGAAATTACATAAACCATTATATTCTTAATCTTTTGCATAGTAAATGTATTAATATCATAGAATCATAGAACAATTCAGGTTGGAAAAGACCCTTGGGAACATCGAGTCCAACCATTAACTCTACACTACAAGTTCACCCCTAAACCACATCACCCAACACCCCATCTAAATGACACTTGAAAACATCCAGGGATGGCGACTCAACCACCTCCCTAGGCAGTCTGTTCATTACCTGTGAGAAGAGACCAGCACCAACCTCTCTACAATGTCCTTTCAAGTAATTGTAGAGCATGATGAGATCCCCCCTCAGCCTCCTCTTCGTCAAACTGGACAGTCCCAGCTCCCTCAATCGCTCCTCATAAGGTCTGTTCTCCAGGCCCTTCACCAGCTTTGTTGCCCTCTTCTGCACTCGCTCCAACAGTGCATATCTTCCATCACTATAGCATCGAAATACCTCAATTTCTGATATTCTGTCTTCTGTGTACCACTTGGAAAGGAGGTAGTGTTACTTCTTTTATAGGGAGAGGAGACTTGAGGTTGGCAGAGACTATGTGACTGTAAAAAAATCATTATGAAATCTTTTAGGTGAACTCTACTGCATGAGCCAGCCCATTACCATACCCATGGTCACACTGTTCCTGCTTTTGATGTATCTATTGCATTCCTGTATTTTCCTGTAACAAAGGCTGTGGTTTATACACATCTAAAATAACAATCATTTGGCAGCCCTGAGTAGGAAATAAAATGGGTAATTCACTAATGAGATGTTATACTGGATGTTTTCTTAGTGACATCCTGCTTATATTTTAATGAAGGTCAGATACAGTATAGTGTAGCTACTTGTTGTCCAGAATCAACTTTAAGTTGCATCAACTCTGTAGATGTGCTGTCATACTCTTGAAAATAAATGTCACTCAATAATTGCCTTTTTATTTAACCTCATATTTGGAGATCCAAGCAATTAAAACACATACTTGTATTTTTAAGTAATGCAGGAAGTGAAATAACGCTATTCTAAAAAGATTCATGCAACAGCTAGGACAGTGCTTAAGGCTTGCTCATTTTTAGTGCTAAAGTGCGTGCACAACTTCTCCCTCAGTGAAGTAGGAAGTAGCTGCTGGTCAGGAACAGGCAGGCTATTAGTCACAGCGCAGCATCTTGCAGCGTGCTTAAGTACACCCACTGTTTGCAGCACCCTGTTACCTTCTCCATGTAAATTTCTGGAAGTACATTTCCCAATTTCCTTTGTTAAAAAGGTGTCGTATTCTAGGGCTTTAACAAAACTCCTGAGAATGATTCTTTTCCCCTCTGTGCCAGAGGGGAAAAAACTGTGGTAAATCCAAGCACTTGAAACTGATCTGGCCCAAGGCCCAACCACCTGAACCTCCTCTGAAAGAGCCATTCTCAAAGGTATATAAGCAAAACACTAAGAAATGTAATGTACGTAGCAACACTTAATTACATTACAGTTTAATGTTAGTGAATCTTTGTGTCTTATGACATATGTGAGTTCAAGAGCAGTAAAAGTTTGTTTGTGTCTAGATAGTAACATTGTTGATCATCTTGGTTAAGTAAGATGTGTAATTAGAAATGAGCAAATCGGAGACCATCCACATCCATAATGACTCAAGATACATCTTCCTGGATCAGTGTTGTGATGTGTTTCAGCCTTTACCTTCCTGATGGTTGTTTTTTTTTTTGCAACCCTTATGTTCAGACAACACCTTGACAATGATACATATTTTTTTAAAATTCAAATATATATTTCTTACAGCCCTTTATAGAGTATACCACTATAGAAAAAGCTTAATCTGTGGTCTGCCTTAAATAACTGCTGAATTTCTGAATGAGGAAATCAGTTACTGTGTCATAAACTCTTTTTTTAGTAAGAAACCATGTCTCCATAATATTTTTTTTAATACCAGATTTTATCATTTAATTTCAGTGATGGTGTTTCTTAGTAGGTTTAGTTAATTCACAGGAACCAGTGGTTTGAATGCAGCTTGGGGTTCAGCTGTGGAGTTTGTCACAGAATTTGTTCAGGAGTGATTCATATGTATCGCAGAGTCTGTTTCTTTGTAGTTGGCTGAAGGCATATGGGCAAAATGAGGAGAAAAGAGAAATGGGCTTACAGGAACAGAAGTCAGCATGCAGGTTTAAACTTCCTCCTACTATGTGTCATCAACTTTTCTTGAAGGACTAGGAAAGAGTAGCTTTCTTAAGAGAGTTTAGTAGTGCTATCTTCAGTCTAAACAGGGGTTAGGGTGTCTTGAAAGAGCCATATTTTTGTCCCTCTTGCACTTGATCTTTTAGCTTGCTTAGTTTGAGGATTCATGCTTGGGAAAGCTGAGTGGACTAAACTACAGCTAAATACTTTATTGCAAAACTAGATTTTGTGTCTGAAGGATCATTATCGAGAGGATGTCAGAATGCTAACGTGATTCTTAATATACAAAATACTTAAAGTGTTAGTTTAGTATTTCATATGTGAGAAACGAAGCTGATCCTGCATGGTTCTAGATAGGGTTTAGAGTATCCTGGTGGTGTGGATCTGCTGGAATTTTAAGTTATTTTTTTGTTTGTCTTGTGCAGACAAAGTGAACATCAGAGATTGTTGTGTACTGTTTTGTTTTCATGAGTAGATGTCACAGTAATCTGTGGATTGAAACAGGAAACGTTTTGAATTCATGTGTAACTAGATTGCATAAGCGAGGAAATCATATGTTGTGTGTTACAGATTTCGTCTCTGATTTAATTTCATTATAATATGGGAATATTATTAACTGATCTCTGGTAGCAAATAATACTAGCAACAAATCCGCAGTTAGAACTGGAGGGTGGAGGGACAAAAATATATGAACACACAGAAACATAAGTGTGTGTATGCATAAAACCTATCTGTATGTGTAGGTATCAAGAAAACAAGCCCCTCTGCCTGAATATGATGTCCCTACGAGCTGCTTTGCAACTCCAGTTGTAAAGTTTCCACATGAGAACATGG